TACGGATCTGGGATATCCTTCGGTAGAAGGGCATAGCTGTTTCTCTGGATCTGGGAGAGAGCCCACCAGAGTTGCGGCCTGTGACGGGGTTAATGAGACATACATCAAAGGGGCTCCATCCGTAAGAAATGGACTCTGGGGTTCTCATCCTGGGGGACTCTGGGATTCTCTTTACGGGGTTGTGAAGGATTGCCCCCAAATAGGCTACCTGTCAGGATTACTGTTTGATCCAGCACGTAGAACTGTATAGCATGGATGACAAATAAGTAACGTATTACCGGTCCGCATTTAACGTACATAATGGCCGCATTTAACGTGCATAGAATAGTCAAAAATACTAGCCGAGGTCAGGGAACACAGAAAGGGACGCAGCGATGAGGAAAGCCAGGAGTCACGATACCAGAATATAGAGAAGTCAATAAACAAAGTCAAAAACCAGGTAGAAAACTAATAACAGGAACGCGCTCTCGGACAACCACAAGGGAAACCACGACAGGGCACTGAGCAGGATGAGAACTGGGCATAAATACCTCTCTTTTAGTTCTGATAGGCTGTAACCGGCCTTTGACCCCAAAGTCAGTTACCAGGTTTCATTTGCATAATTGCTGCTCAGCATTAACCCTTCTGTGGATTAGTTTGCTGCTCGGCACAACTTTTCCTGTGTGGAAAGTAAATGTCATTAACCACATTTCTATAAATGGATGAATATGTGACACCAGGTTTCATTTGCATAATTGCTGCTCAGCATTAACCCTTCTGTGTATTAGGTTGCTGCTCGGCACAACTTTTCCTGTGTGGACAGTAAATGTCATTAATCACATTTCTATAAGCTGATGAATACGTGACACTACCATGGTCAAGGGGGGGGATCTGATACCCATGGGAGCTAGCGGCATCGAAGGAACTAGGCGCTTGAGATCATAAGGGCGGAGGGGGCAGGGACAGGAACTGAGGGCACTGCAAGGGCGGAAAAGACGGGAACAGGAAGCGAGGGTAGAGCAAGGGCGGAAGTGACGGGAACAGGTACGGTAGAGATGGGCGTGACAGGGACAGACTCAATAGGGGTGAAGAGGGAGGATATATTTGGGGCAGGCAGGGAGGGCATGATGGGGGCAGGGGAATACAATGATCCATCAGCCCTAAGGACGGGGTACGCAGGAGCCAGGAGGGTGGTGATTGTAGAGACTGGTAACTGGGTGGAGGTCCTGGGACTGGACCAACCTCCCTCCGTGCCAGGCACCATGATAGGGCGATGGCTGACATGGGGTTTCAACAATACTTTCAGCATTACAATTACTTTCATGGTACACATAAATTCTTTGCCCCCCTAACTCTTTTTCTTCCTCCACCCATCCCTCCTGTTGAATTGCTCTGGCAACTCTAAACCAGGCTTCTGCTATCTTAACTAGGTTACTGTCCTGCAATAATCCCTTTTAATCTTTTAGCAGCTTACGCCAGCCCTCTGGCTGCAGCCATCCGCTGGAAGACATAATAATGCCACATA